CCTTCCCTGCCTGACGGCCGCTGCGATGTTTTAAGAGGCCCGCCCTGAAAGACCGGGTCAGGTGCTGCCGACAGTGACGAACTTTCTGAGGGGAGCTTTGCTCGGAATAGGAGACAGTAGGGAGTGAAGAATTGCGTGTGCGTGTGCGTATTACTTCTGTTTAAGGGCGAACAACTTGCACGAGCTTTAGCATATAAATGCTCCCGACAGAGTTCTTCTGGCCCCGTCTGTAAAAAGGGAGTGATTATAGGGTTAACAACAACTCCTTTTGGAAAAGTATGCCTGTATGTTGAGATATGCTATATGCATGCTCACAGCACCGCAGGAAGCTACTGCCAATTACGTGGGGAAGATGGTATAGCCATAAATACGTTCTTCATATCAGCATCGTCCTCGTTATCTTCTGGTTCTTGACTTATCTAGCTAGCTAGATAAATCAGTGACTGTGTGTCTTGCATATGCAGTAGACATTGTCTAGAGGGGCGGGAAAAAATCTAATAAATAAATAAATAAATAAATAAATAAATAAATAAATAAATAAATAAATAAATAAATATTTATTTATTTATTTATTTATTTATTTATTTATTTATTTATTTATTTATTTATTTATTTATTTATTTATTTATGTGGTGACAGCCTCCAGTCTTCACTCACATCAGTTTTCTTTAACATAACTCTCTCTAACCAGGCAGTGTTTCAGGTGTTGGACTACATTTTCCTTTATCTCAAGTTATCTGGAGACTATGGGAGTTGTAGTCCTACACATCTGCATCATGCTATCTTGGAGAACTCCAGTTCATATATGCATGTGTTAACAGGATGGTATGAGTGGCAGAATCAAAAACCAAGTGCAACTTTCCTTTTAATCCCGAACAAACGATCAAGTCAGACATTACTGATCAAGTGCCAGTCCAGGCAAATTTGCAGATTGCTTGTGGGAAGGAAGTTCTTGAGTAATAGTCATTAGGATCACAATGACATTTTATACAGTGCCAAAAGAATAACCAGCAAAATACAAGTCGCGTGTTTATGGTTGAAGGCGATTCCTTGGTGTAGCTTCTGTAACTAACTATAGGTAGTTTGACAATGTGGAGTATGATGTCCAAATTAATATTATTTGTGCTAAATAGATGATAGACATTGTGCAGAAATAACAGGTTGCTCATGCTGCCAGTGGCTTCTAAACTGAAAACATTATTTCAGTTTGTTAGTGCTGCATTCTAATTAAAAATGGATAAATTAACGTTGTTCAAAGTGTCGTAGAACAAGCAATAAAGTGGAGTGAGCACTGAATATGAAAGGCATAATTTCTCATCTTGGTGAAAGGAGGAACAAGAATCTATGAATATCCAGTTCATAAATATATGTGCCAAATAAAGTTAATTAGGATATTGGCTTCCACTTTTTTCTTTTTGCCAGAAGTCTTTTTGGTATCATTCCAAAGTTTCCAATGTGGAATTTAGAAAATGGATGAGCAGACTTAAGACCTATGTGGTCATTTGGTTTGTTCATGGGTTCATCAGGACACTCAACCATGAAACTCACTAGGTGGCCCTGGACTAGTCTCTTTCTCGGCCTGGATTAACTCCCAAAGTGATTGTGAGAGTAAAATTGAGGGGAAGAGCCATATATGTTAGAGGAGAAATGTGACATCAGTGTAATGAACAAACATATGTTTCTAAGGTAAAAACTCTATTTTTCACATGAAGCAACAAAAAAAGAACCATAATTTCCCCAGTAATATGGTAATGCCATACACTGCTTAGTATTACACAATAATTGCTAATAGACTCTTTATAATTCCACAGTACCTTTGATTTATCTTTCATTGTTATATATTTAAATTTAATTGCTTTGTTATTTCCTTATATGTGGTCAAATCTATGTTTGGTGCATTCTTTGATACTGTTCATGGAACAGAGTCCCAGCTTTAAATGAAGTATGCAGGATTAATTTCCAAAATCACAGGATTTTGGTCTCCTTTGGACGTGAAGCCAGGGCTTCCATTTTGGAAATCTTGTCCTTGACTTTTAGATGTGTAGGCTGTGACTGGCTGTAATTATTTAGCTGCAATACAAATGCAATTTGCACAGGATTGACAATGTTATTATTCTAGAAGTAGACCCTAGCATTAGGAACTAGCTCAAATTGTTCATGGTTTCTATGATATATTGTTAAAAATACATTATCTATTTTAATTAATAAAATGTATGAAGATTTTAGATCGAGTGGGTTTTCATTTTCTGACCTTATCAGCACAGGTGGACTGACATTTAGCTGCTGTTAGGTTGTGGATAGAACTATGGATGGAGGAATTCTTTCAGCGCTTATTTCTGCTGAGAGTTTCCTCATATAACACCCTTGTTGCGGGTGTTATGGAATGAATTTTATAGCATAGTATCCATTCACTACGTCAGTAATTTTTTGATAAATCAATTATGATAGCATTGCTAATTTATTTACCGTGTGTAGTGGCATTGGAAGCCTAATAAACTTCCTAAATTCTTCTAATATGGCTATTTTATACTGGAGTCTTCCTTGTATTATGCTTGAATGTACAATTTATACAAAATTCATCTGTAGCCTATGGTTTGAGAAGGAGCAGAGGCTTATCTCATCGTGGATCAGTCTTTGTTAGACTGAAAGAACAATGTTTAAGTTGGAGTGGTCAACATATGATCTTTTTGAATCTCTCAAGGCCACCTTGCCCCTTCGCACATTATGTTGGCTGCTGTCGCTGAACCCACACTCCCACAGGAAACCTGTCTGCTGTTTTCCCTTGCTTCCTCCTTCCTGTCCTCCCTCCTTTTGCTTCCTTCCCTTCTTCTTTCCTGTCATCTGCTATACAGAGCCATCACTATAAGAAAGTTCTCACAGTTACTGCCACATTTCAGTGGTACATACAGTGGTAGCTCTAGTGAAGTCCCTGATGGTTTCTGGAAAGTCCAGTACAGCCCTGGACACCAGGAACATGCCCACGTCTCTTGTAGACAAACAGAAAACATGTTAAATATCTATATTTTTAATATGGCCTTTCAATCTAGTTAATCTTCATGTGCCGGAACAGCACAATTAAGTCTCTCAGAGTCACATTTTCATGCACAGTATTCATAAAATCAGGCTAGCAGTTGAATACATTGCCCCAAACAGTTGATAACAAGATGGTGTCAGCCATTTGCCATGTACAGAGTTTTTTGTTTTTTTCCTAAACAAACTAAAACTAACCTGTGACAAAGTATATCTCAAGAAATCTGTTGCTTTCCCCCATTTGGATGCTTTATCATCCCAGCCAATGTAACATATTAATACAATCCACCACCAGCCTTCACCAAAACCAGAATAAGATTGCTATATTTTGCATGCTATATTTTCATGAACTATGGCTTAGAGGGACACTGGAGTAATCATTGGGTTCAAAAGGTACAAGAAGTGTGTATGAAATCTATACGCTAATCCTAACCCTGACCCCAACCCCATGGCTGACTCTACTGCTAACTGTCCATACACTGGAGTCAGAAAGTCCGCTACAACTCACTCAGTGCAAGTTTTGTTATCCTGATGCATGAGGATTAAGCTGTTCTATTTTAATTTGTTTTAATGATCTACTGACTTTGGTTGGTGTCAGTTTTTCAAGATATTCTTTTGCATACCTCTTCAGTTGATGTTCTAGAAAGGAAATCTAGAACTATTTAAAATAGGTAAACAATTCAGATAGCTAATTATGAGGAAAGTTAATGAATTTTTAAATTAAAGTTTTTTTACTTACAATTTTTATCTTAAAGTTAATTTAATTTTTAACAGACAAATGATGGTTATGTTTGTATTTTAAAATGAAAATGAAAAGAGATCTACGCATAGTTCTTGTGCAAATGAGATCATAATGTGAACGCAAGTTCACTTCATTTCATTGCCCAGCCCATATCCTTTAGCTAGACCTTGAAGTTAGCAATGCAACAAAACAGGAACTCCACCCTAGCTTTATGAATTGCAGAGCTGAGTTGCTAGTTTCTGACCATCTGCCCATTCTTCCTGTTATGACAGAGCTCATGAATTTCAGGATGATAAGTGGAGGGACATATTTTATCCTTCATCACTTAACCCATAAAATGCAAAATCTATGATATTTAGTGGCAGAATTCCCCTTCCTATGAGTTTTAATCAGACATTCATCCTAAGTGTGTGTTTTCTTGAACAGATTAGCGAGTTGTGTGTGCACTTGGTTTAATCATATTCACTTACTGACCTTTTATATTTTTCAGGCTCACATGTTTCACTGGACCCACCATCACTTAGCATCCAAAAATCTGTTATCACTGTAACTGCAAATGATACACTACAGATTACTTGCAGGTAAGGCTCAAACACCAAGATGGAGATATTTTGTATATAGAACCACCCTCCATTACTTCCTTACTTTAATAGTGTGTCTTCTTTGGTTAACATGGGTATGCAGTGTAAGAGACAGTTATGTAGCATAAAAAATAAGTTAAGATCTTTCAGGAAATGCAGGAATGTCAAACCAATCTAAATGTTGCCTGGTTCAAATGTTTGCAGTTTAAAGATCTGGAAAGAAGAGTAAAGATCTCTAAGTGTTGCATAGACTATAAGAATTAAAGATTTTATTGTATGCATCTCTCTGTATGTGCATACATTCAGGATATTTCTGTACTAGCTCTTATTCAGATATGTGTATCAGGGGTTGTATATGAGAATTGGAATAAACACTTGTGACTTGACCTCTGTCCTTTGCATACTTCCAAAACTGGATAGTCTGAAGAGATCACAAGCCAGCTGTTCCACCCCTATGCCTAAGATCACTGATCGGCCCATAAATTGACTGATCTATCCATAGCTCGATCTTTGTAATTCAGATTGCAATGTGACAGAAAGAGGTCATGGCTAATATCCTGTTGCCAGAATGTGGAGTGAGAGGGAAATAGCGCTGTTTTTCCCCTGCTATAACACATTACCCATTGTATGCCGAATCATATGTGAGAATGGGCATGTAACAGGGAGCCTGGCAGAAATGGCTACACTTTTGATTTCCCTTCTATTTGTGTTCAGGCAACTGGACATTGGCCCATGTATTTCAGGGGAAGGCAAAACCCTACCTGTTCCTAGAGGAGCATGCTAGGAGACAAGTGCCAGAAGTGAGCATGGCCAAAGCCATTAGCAGGCGCATTCAGACTGAAAACTAGACAAGAGCACCTGTCCTTCCTCTTCCTCCCCCACCCTTTCTACCATTCTACCCTTTCTCTCTTTGTAAATACTCCTCCCTCTTCTTTTTCTCTACCTAGGGAGCTTCCAGAGAAGGAACAGATTGCTCTTGCCAGAGGTCTGAACTAATTGCTTGCATAGGACTTTAAAATTATGCCAAAGGCTGCCTAAGATTAGGCTGATGGCTGGAGTGTGCTCAGCCCTACTTATCATGGCAGATTTAGCCTGGCAGAAGGTGTTTCCCAGATTCCCCAAAGTGGCAGTCACTGAGAGTGAAGGCACACCTGGGATACAATATTTGGTTGCCATTGGAAAATCAAAACATGGCAACATTTTGGGTTACCATTCTCACAGTCTCCCACTTAGCAAGGTCACGGGCTCTCCTATTTGGTGGACAATGGCTGTTATACTCCAAAAAGGTAATCTTGCCAAACTCTGTCGAGGACAGCTTTCAAGACTCATGCAGATGGTCCTGTGCACCAACCTCCATTCCTTCCTTCAGAGTAGCCCTCCCATAAAACCAATTTCTGGCAAGGAAGTTATGGATTTAGGAGAGAGATTGTTAATGTAGATTACGCTTATAATTTCTAGGCTCATCCTCCATAACGTTTGAATGTCCCCATTCATTTTTCTTCTCTTTTTATTTTTATACCAGTCTGTTTCCCTGTATCCATAAGATGGGGGATTCACTTATGTTTTATTTTTAGAACATCACTTAATCAAAGTCACCATCACTTAAAGCTGTATGGATTTCCTGTATACATGGTGGGGGAGGGGGTGCTAAACATATGCAGCATTGTTCAAGGATCCCAGTCGTGCTTTTCCCGTGTTCTTAGAAACTAATACAGTGTCCAGAGTTTTCCTCACTGTGGGCTGAAACCAGATTACACACATGGAAACAAGTGAGACTTAATTACTCCCAACTAATGCACATCCCATGATTTCAGTGGCTGAATCCAGCCCAGTGCCTTCTTTCACGTGAGGAATTTTAAGTCTCAATTCAGACATCATACAAACTGTGCTTAGGTAAATGTAATTGTGATTTCATGCAATGTTAGTATTTGTAACCAGCTATCAAACATGATTTAGAAGCCGTGGTGTAAAGTGGGATTGCATACCATGATCTGTGCTAATTATGGGTGATGTCATGCATGAATTGACAAGACATAGTTAGAAGCCATTCTGTTGCTCCTTCTCCTGAAACTATTACACTTATAGCAGGAGAGGTGGACAGGTAGCAAATTAAAGCAGACATATGGCTCTAAACCACAGCGGTCTATATGTTCGGCATGCCATTGCTGGGTTTACGCAAAAATATAAAAACAACCAACAAATGAATGAATAGAACACAGATTGCAGCACATATTTGCTATCAAAGAGAGGTTGAACATTCAAAGGGAAATGGAAATCATGAGTCAATTTATGGGTCAAATATGGCAATTCTTACAGCCCCTGAAGCCCCCATTTGCCTGCTCCATTTCTCTGTGCACATATGCTTGTAAGCAAGCAATCAAGCAATCAAGTAAGTAAATGAAAGAATTATACCTCCAGAAACCTTCATGGGGGCTTGATTCACCTCTAAAGCAAGGTATACCATATATACCACTTGATTATACATAAAAATGTATCAGTGTAAAAAAGGGAGGAAAACATCCCGAAAAACCCACAACAACTATCTTAATAATCTTCACTTAAAATATTGCCATGTATCGGCTGTGCTGGTGAACCTCTGAGAACAGATTGATAATCCATATTTTGAATTGGCAAGGAATATAGTTGACCAGTTACTTGTCTAGTCAACCAGAGTGCCAGTCATTGTGCTTCCTTGAGTTTACCCCAATAGTGATAATAACAATAGTAATTGTTACTTGCTGTCAAGTGGATTATGATCAGCCTTTCCAGGGTTTTCGATCTGTAGAGTACTTACTCGTGAATGATTTACTGTTTCCTTCTGGGGATGCTCTGGGCTGTGTAGCTTGCTCAAGGTTACACAGGCTGGCTCTTCTTGAAAGCACAGTGAGAAATTAAACTAGTCCCTGGTTCTGCTGCCAGGTGCTGCAACTCACTGAGCTATCTAGCCAGCTCTTGAGTTTAAAATACCTGTTTAAAATTTCCTATACCATCTTGAGTTATTAGCATGCATGGCTTCTTGTGATAGCCTAATTAAGCATAACCACTAATTAATTAAACTTAAGTACTGATGAAAACAGTTTCCAAAGAATTAGCCATGCTTGTCTGTCTCAGCATGTTGGCAAAACTAAAGGGGAAAGCAGGTGGAAGTAAAATATTTTGGCAGTTTAGAGACTAACAGATCTATTTTAGTGTGAGCTTTGGTATGTCAAAATTCACTTATTTTGATCCAGGAAAGCACACACTGAAAAAAATCTGATAGTCTTTAAGTTGCTATTATAGTTTACCTTCTCTGCTTTCCCCCCTTAATTCATGCCAACATAGCAATGAAAACAAGATCACATCACAGGAAGTGGATGGTTTCTATGTGCTTGTCTCTGTCTCATAAGTTCCCATACTTTTTTGCCCCGTAGACCACTTGCCAACTTATTTGTTTTCCGTAGACCCCCTATGCAATTGTAACCACTACAAAATATGTATAAACATTTGTAGTTACTGTTGTTAGGCGTTCCTAAAGAAGATGATTTTGATTCACTTGACTTTTACCTATTTTCTATCTATATTGAAGGTATTTATTTTTAAGAAGCCACTTTTCTTCTCAAAATTCAGAAAGCAACTGAAGGTCTCTAACACTTCTGTTTATCAATTATGAATCAAACAAGTCTGTGCAAAGTCTAAACAAGTACGTACGTGCACAATGTGTGTGCCCATATAGCTCATTAGTGAGAAATGACAAAATGTCGTCCATCCCATTTACAACACACTGACATTTACCATAAAATTTTACCAATAATTTTACGAACTTACACATGAATGTAGCACACCACAATACAGATAGTACATAGTACCTAATTAAATAATATTATGAAATATTATGTACACAGAGTCTGTGTTTGGTGTAATTACGGATCTCCTAAATATTTATTCTGATCTGTCTAATTGGATCTGCTCACGTAGACCCCCATTTACATCTCGTGCACCCCCAATTTTTTTCTCTTTGATGTGGACCCTCTGCAAGTCGAAATTGACCCCTGGGGGCCCATATAGACCACTTTGGGAATCTATGGTCTAGATGAACAGCTGCTTAATTTGTCAAAAACACACATACAAAATGCCATGGTAGTTGAGGTGACATCAGATTATTGGTTCCCAGACTTGGTCCCCCAGATTTTGTTGGAGAAGAGTTTCCAGAATCGTTGACCACTGGGCATGCTGTCAGGAGTATCTAGGAGTTAATACCCAATTACATCTGGGGACCCAAGTTCGGTAATCACTGATTTAAGTGATAGGTGGTTTTCAGTGGGTCATGGTGTTACAGTCGTAATCAGAGGGATCGTTTATTAGCTGATACAAACAGCTGTGTGCATCCTCTGTTAGCAACATGATAATAGCATAGCAGTATTCGCCTTGTATTTTTACACCTCTTCATTTTACCTTTAGTGGTGAAAGGGCTTTGGAATGGCTTTGGCCCAACAATGAGACAAGTTCTGAAAACCGTGTAGCAGTCACTGATTGCACAGACAATATCTATTGTAAGATGCTCACGCTCACAAAAGCAAAGGACAATGACACTGGGACCTACAAGTGCTTTTACCAAGAAAGCCATGCAACATCAAGCATTTATGTTTACGTACAAGGTAGGTGTTTCCTGGTCTAATGTTCTTTTCCTGTCTAACATATTAGAAATCAAAGATTAAAGCCTAAGTCCTGTGTTCATCTTCTTCTTCTGTTTGCAAAAATGAGACTTAAGTATAAATAGAGCTGCTTATTTTCAGTCTTCATAACTGTGCTTTAAAACGGACATTCTCAGTCTTTTTTTTGGCCATGGCCATAAAACCAGTATGAAAGAAATATAGGCCAAATCAGGGTTGTATATGTTGCTTAATGAACCTTATGAGGTGGTGTATGAAGAATTGTTTCCAGTCTGTGGCCCTCTTCAAATGTTTCAGGGGGCCCCAGGCGGCATTTGGCCCCTGTTGAGAATGGCTGTTTTAAAGGCCCCATGGACTCATTATCTTTTGAGAGAAAAAGAAACTTGTGTTCTCAAAAGCTTTCACGGCTGGGATCTGATGGCTGAACTTGGAACTTCACTTGTCAAAATAATATGTTGTCTCTGCGGTACTTTGCACCGTTGGTCAATAAAATATGCTAGAAGAAATGTGGTGGTAAAAGGCTAGATACATTCAGAATCAGATTTCAGTTTAATCTGTTGGCCGAAGCAAACTCTATTCTTGTTGCAAATAGACCCAAGGGTCAGTTCACACAATGTTTGTTATGGCGTTTTTAAAAAAGTGTTTATACCACAATGTGTCACAACCAACCATCAGCTGCAGATTCCTAGACTGCATCCACAAGGTGAAGTACATTATGCATGCCTGTGTAGGTTGTTTTGTTATGCAAATGCCATATCCATATAGAAAACAGCTTCTGTAAAGCTATTCTTAGTAAATATTGCATGAAATTTGATTCTGTGTAACATCAGATGAAATAAAAAAAATTACTTATCCTGACATGTGCTCATGTCAGGATAAGTAATTTGTTTATTAGGAAGGACTACATTGTAATAAAAGAAGGCATGTTATTATATGTATAGATTGAAATTAAGATGAGAAAAAGATGGCATGGTTTAAACCAAGGATGAGAAACCAGGGGTATTCCGCATGTTGACTACAATTCCCATAACTCCGCCCCCCCCATTAGCCATTTTTGTTTGGGCTCATGATAGTTGGCATCCAATGAAATCTGAAAGGCCACAGGTTCTGCATCTTAATTTTAAAACCATGTTTCACAATATAGCTTTCTAACAGCACTTTGTTTTTACCTTCATGAAGTACAGGGATGATTTCTGTGACATGTCATATTTTCTCTGCAGTCTACATTTGAACCCATACGCAAGTTCAAACAAGTTTATAAGTAATCTGGCCTTTCTCACCAGATTACTCATAAACATGTTCAAACCCACCCATTAACTCAAACATAGGTTGCAAGGGAAAAAGTGACGTGTCATATAAATCCTCCTCTTATTAATGAGCCGCTGATCAGTATCATACTCTTTTAAGAAGTCTCTTTCTCTTTTACTCAGTGGCACATTATTTCAGCACTCCAGCTTGTTGACTGATTTCATCAGGTGCCAATGGAACCAAACTTACCTCATATTCCATAGATGTATTTCAATCTTCCACTGTGTAGTTACTTGTTTTCATTCCTGTATATCTTTTAGATTCCAAAATAGGTTCTTACAAACTATTTCTATTTAATTTTCTCTTCTAGATTTTATGGATCTTCCAGATTACAGATCTCCATTTGTGACATCAGTTAGCGATCAACCTGGTGCTATATACATAACTGGCAACAAAACGGTGGTGATACCATGCCTTGGGTCCACATCAGACTTAAATGTTTCACTTCATGCGGTAAGACAAAGAAGCATAACTGTTCTCATTTGTCAAGTTAACATCACTTACTGTATTTTTGAAACATAGACATGTTACTTTTTAAAATAAATTGTAACTTCCCTTGCCAGATAGAGGATTTCATGGTCCAAATAGAGGATTCCATGGTCCAAATAGCATGTCTTCCAAACTGTTTCATTTGTTGGTTTATTATTTTACTTCAGAATGGGAAGGATAAGTCTTGTGTGGAAGAGTGTGTGCAGGAAGGAAAAGAAGAGTGTGGTTGTGGTTTAATTTTCTAGAACCTTTTAAGAAAATATTACGAATTTAACTGATTGTTATTCTGATGTTCATGCAGAAGTATCCAGACAAGATCTTTGTTCCTGATGGTAAAATGATAACATGGGAGAGCCAGAAGGGTTTCATTATTCCCTCCAGTTTGATCAGCGATGTAGGGATGGTCTTCTGCAAAGCTAAGATAGATGGTGAAAGCTATCAGTCTGGGATGTACATTGTGGCAGTTGTTGGTAAGTCATGTACTATTTTCCGTGGACATCTTTGTTATTATTTGCATAGACCAATGGGAGTGCTGGAGGGGTGGAGTCATAAGGTATAAGAGACTCAGCAGCAGGAGGAGTGGAGATAGACATAGATAGGGTTCTGGGAGATAGAGTTTTGGAGTTTGGAGACTTAGTTTTGGGGCTTCTGAACCCAGATCTGGGGAATCCTAAGAGAAGGAAAATACCTAATCAAGAAAAACCATTTTTAACCTCAGGATTTACAAGACGTAGTGGCTAGCTCCAAAATTCAGAGCTCTGAGGGAAAAGAACAGTAGTGGATGGAGTAGAAGCCTATGTCAGAATAAATCTAGGGTGATAATAAAAGCTAAGCAGAAAGTTGTTCTTGTGTTTGGAGACAAGAATAGTCCAGACAGAGAATTATTGTGACAAGGGTTGTGAGCTTGGGAGTAGTTGAGGCAAGCTGCTTGAAAAGCACAACCTAGTTACAAGGAAAGCCACTGAAAGAGAGGAAACAGCCTTATACGTTTGGCTTTTGTGAGGGAAAAGAACTAGTCCAGGTTAATAAGAAATTGTATTGTTTAACTTTATGCCACCCAATGAAGTAAAAAGTCAGTTATGGAGGCACAGGCAGAGCTCCATTGTACTGAGGGAAATGGAAACCCTTAAATACAGAGAGAGGAAGAAACTGGGGGAACTGTATTGATTGCCTCAGAGGGAGAAAATATTCAAAGCTCCCAAGATTTTGAAAAATGGAAGCTAGAACAAGAATTTAAACTGAAAGAGCTAGCTATGAAAAACCAATTAGAACTAGAAGTTAAGGAAAGAGAATGTATTCTTGAAGGCAGACATTAAGGAAAGAGAACTTGAAAGGCAAATGGAATTTGAGCACAGAGAACTAGAAATTAAAGAAAGAGAAAGGAAACTAGAATTTAAAGAAAGAGAAAGAAATGTGATTCCATTATTGAGATGAAGAAATTGGAATTAGCTGCTCAAAATCATCATCATCTCATCATCATCATAATTCCAATGTGGGAAATACCTCAAAAATCGACCTAAAGAAATTTCCCCAATATAGGAAGGGGGATTGTCCTGAATCTTTCCTGATTTCATTTGAGAGAGTGAGAGCTTGTTGGGACTTTGAGGTTAGAAATGATGAGAGGATGATAATTTTAAGATCACAAATAAGTGGAATTTTAGCTGAGCTTTATTTTCAGATGCCTCTGGAGCAAGCTAGAGATTTTGAGACTTATAGAAAGATGGTGTATTCCAGATTTGGGATTAATTCAGAGCACCTAGAAGGAAATTTAGATCAATTTAAAAGAAACCTGAGGAGTCTTTTACTCAACGTGAGGCATGTTTGACACAGTATCTCAATAAAAGGCTGGAACAGCAACATGTTTCTACCTTGGCAAGGCTGGAACAGCAACATGTTTCTACCTTAGCAATGAAAAATATGATTGGATTAGAACTATTTTATTCAAATTTGCCAAGGGAATTGCATTATCTGGTCAAGGACAAGGACCCTAAAAATATGCTACAAGCGTCTGAATATGCTGGTTCTATTAATGAGATCACAAATCCTTGATTCTCTGAGGTAAAAATCGACAGAAAAGGATGGGACAACAGTAGGAGAACATCCCATTCCAGCAGATGTTACCTCAGTCAGGAGCAAGCTAAAGGAAGCCATTAGAGCCATTAGAGCATAGTCCCCTGAAATCTAATAGTTCTGAGGGAAAAGTTAATAAAACCCTTTATTTTGAACCTAAGGCTAGTAAACAATGTGTGTGGTGAGAAAGGTCATTTTTGGGCTCATTGTGAAACTCAAAAAAATAGGGATTTTAGTCAGCCTAAAGGTGGAAATTATATTCAGCCTTAAAAGGTATTTTGTGTGCAGCATAATAGGGTGCAGCAATCGGCAGTTGAAGTTGAGGCCTCTACCCACCACAGCACTGTTGCTAAGGAAACAGAATTGGCAGAGGGCCCAAAAATTCCTGAAATAAGAGTGGTACACTGTTTCCTAATCAAGTGCAATCAGGATTTATTGAATAACTCTTGAGAGCCTATTTTTATTGACAACGTAAAGCATCTGGTTATAAAAGATACATGTTCCCAGATTATTATTTGTCACTCAGACATCGTTCCTAAAGATAATATGTTGGAACAGAACATCACCCTCAAAGGCATTAGCTCAGACACGGTGGTTCTGCTAATGGCCAGAGTAGCAGTGAAATACCATGGGTGGTCTGGTATATGGAAAGTAACAGTGTCAGACCAAATCCCTGCTCCTTGTCTGATTGGTTTAGATCTAGCCAACCATGTGCAGAATGTTTTAACAGTAACCTGCTCTCAGGGGAGGCAGATTGAAGCCATTGAGGAACACTGAAACTAGCGATGAAAGACCCATTTTAGAGGAACCTAGTGAAATGAGGGAGACATTAGTGCTAATGAGAAATCCTAATAATTCCTCCTTTATTAATGAGCAGAAAGAAGCTATTACTTTAATTTATTGCTTTGAAAAAGTTAATGAGAATCCTATTCCACTGACTCCTGAACACCTAGAGAGATATTGTGTGGAAAAAGATTTATTATATAGATAAGTTTTAATGGGACCTCATGGGGGGGAGGACCCCACAAACAGCTAGTTGTCCCTGTTAAGTACAGAGAAAAGATTATAGAAAAGGCACAGAGAGATGTATGTGGGTCACACATGGGCATCTCTTGCACCAAGCAAAGAGTGGCACAGAACTTTTCTTGGCCTGGAATGGGAAAGCAAGGGAAACAATCTTGTCAAAGGTGTAATGCTTGGCAAAAATGACGTACTGGAAATGACAAGACAAATTTATTTATTTATTTATTTATTTTATTTATATCCCGCCTATCTAGTCAATTAAGACCACTCTAGGCGGCTAGACCACACAAAGGCTAAGCTACGCTCATTACCAGTGATCTCGACCCTTTGCCAACACATGGGTCTGCAAAAGTCCTTAGGAATAGCAGAGTAAAGCTTGGGGGGGCGCTCAAGAAAAGAATAAAGGGTGGTGTGGTGAAAAGGGCCGGAAAAAAGCATTCTGTCCTGAGGATGAAGTGGTGATGCTGAGACCCATAGAGGGGAGTGAATTGCAATAAGCATGGTCAGGACCTGTAGATATGTCATCACAGCACTGGAAAGCTGAAGGGACTAATATTGGGAAGTATTGGGAAGGCTCCACATGCAGCTGCAAAAGCAGTGAAAATCCTAAAAGGCAGACCCCTATCTGAGAAACCAGAGCTTAAAGGGATAGAACCAGATGATGAAAACCTCAATACATCTGGAATAAGTCACGTGTTTGAGATTGCACTTAAAAGAAATTTGCCTGTGAATCTTCAGGTGACCTGTGATAGTGGTCCCCCACATATGGAGAGCTTTGCGACAAAAGTACCTGTGAGTGAGTTTATTAGTGAGGGTAAAGACAAGAGCAAAAAGTTTTCAAAGAAGAAGACAGCCATAGCTGTTCTGGAGGAGTTTAAGAAGCTGCTTAACTTTCCTAAAGTTGAGAAAGAGAAGCCACTAATCGAAAAGAAAACAGGCTTCACCCAAAAGAGGTGAGCCGAGGACATCCAGTGGATGTCAAAGTGCCAGGTAGCTTTTGGTCATCCGAAGAGAGCACGGACTTCAGAACCTGTCCTTGTTGCACCGGACTTCGACCGGTGGACGCTGATCCTGAAAGACTTTGACTTTGAGATCCTCAGCATAACCACTCAGAATGTGGTTGCTGACACCTTGTCTCAAAGGCCAAATGACTAACAGGTGGATAAAAGTTTGCAATATTGTATTAAATGTGCTGTTTGTGCAATAGTTATGGACAGGCAGTAATTTCCCCCAGAAACCCCCTCGCTATGCGAATTCATCGTTAAACGAGGCATTCGCTAAGCGAGGCACTACTGTATCCTTATTGATGTAGAGGTAGTGCAATGTAATTTGCATTGATGTGAGTAATTCAAGAGGTTAATATGTCTTTATTAATGCAAATGTAATGTAATTTATATTAATGTGAGTAATGCAAAAGGTTAATATGTCTTTGTTGATGTAAGAGTAATGTGATATATCCTCAGTGATGTAAATAATGCAAGAGGTTGATATTTGTATTCTTTATAAACCTTTGTTTGTTTATGATGGCAAACTGTTAAGTTACCCCTCCTAAAACAAACTTATTAAGGGGAGAGGAATGTGGCATTCGTGCAGGTCATGAATATTCATATGTTATTTGCATAGATCAATCAGAGTGCTGGAGGAACGGAGTCACGAGGTAGAATCAGGAGGAGGAGGAGTGGAGATAGACATAAATGGGTTTTGGGACATAGAGAGAGAGACTTTGGGGATTTTGGGTGGGAAAGTGTTGGTTGAGAGGGATAAAGGAGAATGTTTATTTAAGATTTAACAACATTGCTTGTTCTGTCAACATATAGCATGGACCTTGATTATTAATAATAGATATTGTTCATAAAATCAACTGGTGGCAGCTGAAGGGCAAGTAGAGTCAGCTCTTTTGTTTGGTGATACAATCAGGGGCCATGTGGAATCATGACAGGAGTGGATTGCAATCTATTGACATCTTTATTATTGAGGTTTTGTTTGGTATATTAAAAACATTTGTTTTAAATGGCACTGTTGTGATTGCCAGTGAACATGGAAATGTGTATTGATCTATTTCAGCCTTCTCCAGCCCTGGTACCCTCCAAATGTGTTTTGATTACAATCCCCATCATTTCCCAATAGACCAGCAGCTTGTGTGCCCAGGGATGGTGGGAGTTCAACCATTCAGTGGTCCCTGGATTGGTAAACTCTGTTTTATTCAATGTGGGTTTCCTTCAAAGTGGTGTTCCCTCTTCTGCTTCTCTCCATAGGGTATAAAATCCATGACCTTACCATGGCTCCTCATCATCAAGTAGAACTGGCAGCAGGAGAGAAGTTAGCTTTGAACTGTACCGCAAGGACTGAACTAAATGTGGCTATTATGTTTGAGTGGGACTATCCATCAAAGAAGGCAACAGCAAACAAGGTAGCTTTTGCATTAAAGAATAATATGTTGGATTGAGGCCTAAAGAGGCCCTTGTAGAAGTCATTTCATTTTTAGCATCCAGAAACGCACCAGTAATTTAGAGTTATTAATGTGTTGTGTTTATCTGCTTGTGCCTATGTCAGGGTAAATTAGAAAGTAGGAACCAGAAATTTACGCATGCAGCTTGGAAAAATTAAATTTTTTGGACCACAACTCCCAGAATGTGGAAACTGAGGACCAAAAGAGATCCTGGGCGCTGAAGTGAGAAAAGTAACATTTCAGAGTTCTGCTTACACTTTGTTCACACATGCACACACACTCCACTTCTGCCTCTGGAATGGTATTGGTAAAATTGGCAATTCTGCTCTTTCTAGTGGCGGTGAGGAGCCTCTGGGAATGAACTCCATTTTGTTCAGTTGGAAATTATGTACATAGAAAGCACAAAGCATTAAGAATGAAGAGATGCAGATATTAAAAAGGGGCAAGGCTCTTGCATCTTTTAAGAGTTATATGGATAAGGAAATTACTTCATAGGTGCAGTATTTCAAAGCCCTGCAGCATTGCTGAATTCCCTTTTACCTATGCAGCAGACTGGCATCAAAGTCTCCAAAATTTTACTGGCACAAAAATGTAATTACTAGCCCAGTTAGTCATGCATTTCTGCATAGGTAACTTACATTTTAACTGCAAGCCCATTCCTAACCAGGTTACCAAAGCTTTCTCATCTGCTTGTCCTTCTTGGTAGGTGAAGAGAGCTGTATTTAGACATACAGGTGCTCCATTCTCAGCTCACTCTGCTCAGCCTGATAAAGTGTCCACCTGATTTCACATGTTGTTGAAAGAAGCTGAAAGGGTGATTTTGGAATGAATTCCTTTCAATTCTGTTACAGAAAAAGCATGTTACAGTTAGGGATGTGGTGACATCATCACGTAATGAAGTGAAGAAGTTTGTAAGCACTCTTATCATAGAGCATGTGACTCTATATGACGGAGGTCAATACAGCTGCACAGCCTCCAGCAGCCGAGTGACTAAGAAAAACAGTGTTTACGTCATCGTACATGGTAAGCCATATATCTGTGGATTTACTTGCCTGTATTGTATAATAAAGAAGGGACGTGGTGGCGCTGTGGGTTAAACTGCAGAAGCCTCTGTATTGCAAGGTCAGAAGGCCAGCAGTTATAAGATTGAATCCACATGACGGAGTGAGCTCCCATTGCTTGTCCCAGCTCCTGCCAACCTAGCAGTTTGGAAGCATGTAAATGCGAGTAGATAAATAGGTCCCACCGTGGTGGGAAGGTAAGGGTGTTCTGTGTCTAGTCACGCTGGCCATGTGACAACGGAAACTGTCTACGGACAAACGTTGGCTCTATGGCTTGGAAACGGGGATGAGCACCGCGCCCTAGAGTCGGACACGACTGGACTAAATGTCAAGGGGAACCTTAAACTTAACCTAATTGTATAATAAGGAATTGATGTTAATATATTATAATTTTCAGAGAGGCAGTGGTGTTATTTTAAGGAGTGGATTGCAATCTATGAAAACCCACACAGAAATAAATTTGTTAGTTTCAAACATCCTACAATACAGTTTGTTTCTCTCATGTTTTTGCTTTAATATACAGTGGTGCCTCGACTTAGAAACTTAATCCGTATTGGAATGGTGTTTGTAAGCTGAAATGTTCATAAGTTGAAGCACCATTTCCCATAGGAATGGATTGAAAATAGATGAATCTATTCCAGTCAAAGGAAAAAAATCACCAAAAAAATAAAAAGAACATAGCAAGCCTGGTCAGAAGGCGCTGAGGTTTAAGAAGAAGAAAAACAAACACTAAAGCCACCTCCATTGCTCAGGTTTAAGAAGAAGAAAAAAACTCCAAAAACAAACATTAAAGCCACCTCCATTGCTGAGGTTTAAGAAGAAGAAAAACAAAAACAAAAAATGAACAGCAAAGCCACCAACAACACAGCACAGAAACATACCCGCCCCAGACAAAACCCACCCAGATCAGTTTTTTAAAAGGAGAAAACAGCAGCTTACCTCCCTGCAGACAAACACACACACACACACACACACTCACTCACTCACTCCGAAGCAGAAGGACGCTGTCCCAAGCCTCCAATGATGATGACACAATCTAACTGCCGAAAGTGAAAGAGCTACAGTACAAAGCAGCCTCATTGCCACTTACAGTTAGAAATCTGAATTGCCTGCCTTTTTCCCTGCCTGTTTCTGTTCGTAAGTGAAAGCTCAGTTCGCAAGTCGAAGCAAAATGTTGTGACCGGAGCTGTTCGTAAGTTGAAATGTTCGTAAGTCGGGACGTTTGTAAGTCGAGGCACCACTGTATTGTGATATATTTCATGACAGAGAGTGAATGAAGTCCAATAGTAAGTTGCAACCAGAGTAGGCCCATTGAATCAGTTAAATTTATGGAAGAGTTGATTCACCAAATTCCCACTGATACAGTGGATCTACTCTAGTTGCAACTCACTGCTGGATTTCAGCTACTGAAATTTCAGCTCGTATTGATGCAGAGTGGATACATAGACAGGTTTGGCTTGATGATATCGCCTCATTTTTTTTGTACTGTGTACAGCAGAAGAAATAGGTAACCAGACATCACACTGTTGTTTTCAGCTACAACAGTGCAGTAAGTTTCCCTTGTTACTAAAGGACTTTTGCCTTTATTTAAAAATAAATGAGCAATAGGAAAACATGCCTCTCTGGAGTAGGATGAAAGAACTTGAATTGTCTCACATTATTGTTGTATTTTAAAATCCTGACAGAAAAACCCTTTATCACTTTGGGCAGAATGCCTTCTTTCGTGGAGACAAAACTGAGTGAATCAACTAAAATTCCTGTAATGTTTAGAGGCTATCCTCCTCCAGATGCCAAATGGTAAGAATAGAACAACTCGGGGAAGGAGAATCCTTGAAATAAAGGAAAATGTATAGTTCTCCATTGGTGGTGGGGGGAGCACTTTGTTTCAGTTTTGTTTGTGTATAATTATTGTATTTTATTTGTTTGTTTGTTGTTCTGTTTGTTCTTTTGTTTCTTGCAATATATTTTCTTTTAATAAAATAAAGATTCAGCAATTATATTCGCACGCACACACACACACACACAAGAATAGAACAATTCTTGCTCTTAACAGTATGTTCCTCTCCCTTTTTCTCTCTCTCTCGTACAGTTCATTTTGTTAGTATTTTTATATTGCCTTTCATAAAAATAATGAAGGCAGAACTCAGCAAATCTAAAAGAAGAAAACAATAAAAACAATAGAATAGCAGCACATCTATCTTTTTTTTTTTTAAAGGTCTGAATCAGTTGCTGGCCCCTGTAAGAGTTAGACCCATTGAGCCAATTCTTAAAGATTCAGATCAACACTTATACAAATCTTGTTGATTCAGTGAGTTTACTGTATTGCAGAAATGGCAATTAGACTGGGGTCATTAAAAAGCAACAGCACTGCTGAAGTGCTAGAGACTCATTGTCTAGGACACAATAAACAGGACAGTTCCTATTTTGTTGGTTCGAAATATGTTTTTGTAATGCTTTTTCCTAACATTTTTAATATAATGTTATTAATTCTTTTGTAATATTTAAATAATTTACTATTCTTAGCATTTAATATTGTGTTTTTAGTTGCGTAATCCTTTTTGGTTCCTTTTTTAGGAGACAAGTAGAGTAAAATGTTCTAAATGAATGAATAAATACAATAATCTATAAATTTCAGTGACAATGTAACATAAATACTTGCCTTTTGTTTTTAGTTGCTTTGATGAAGTCAAAAGTTGAAGCATTTTCCTTTAAGATTTTAATATTTCTGTTACTTTGGTCATGATAATAATTACATGTTTTTACTGATTAAGTACATCCTCTTGGACGCACTTATCTGAAGTGCTGTTCGATGTTTTAAAAATCTCTCTCCCCTCCCCCCCCCAGCCAGGAGAAGATCTTTGTTTCACCCTTTGATAGTCACTGGGTGGCTATGGGTGTCAGTCTTTCCCCCCTCAGTGTATCTACCTGACAGAAATTTTGTGCAGAAATATGTAAATCCCACATACTTTGCCATGAGGTCCTCAAAAGAAGGTTAGATACATATGTGGTTCTATATTTCCCCTGTATAACAATTGTATTTTTCAAACTTACTAAGTCAGCTGTTTTTTTTTTTTTTTTGGCAGGTATAAAAATGGAAATCCTATAGCTGCAAATCGTACAGTTAAACTTGGTTACTCCTTGACAATTACTGAAATAAGTGAAAGAGATGCTGGGAATTATACCATTGTGCTGACCAATCCCATTAATAAGGAGCAAGAGAAGCACACATTTCATCTGGTTGTGAATGGTAAAATTCTTTGTCTTGAATTCTTCTTTTTTTCTTTCATTGCCATGAGTGATAAACTGTGTAGGGGTGGTGATATTTCTTCCCCCTATTTACAATGGAAAACTCATTCCCAATTTATACTGATCAGGTAGCAAGCTGGAGATCTATCCAAATTATAATCTTCAAATCACAAACTATTGTAGGAATATAGCTGTCCAAAATATGAAATGGGCCTCACTTATGGGCCTCCCATCATCCTTAGCCCATTACTAAGGATGTTGTGGACTGAGAATGTAGCTCAGTGATAAACTAAACCATGGCAATTTACTTTTACAAGTAATTTATTGCCATTATGGCCCAAGGTCCTGAAAGGAATAAATGGCTTTTATTGGTAAAATTTAGTAAATATAAATTTCTGCTTTTTTTTGTTTTTCAAATCTAACTAAAATAATTAGTTCTTACTTTCTTAGAAATATGAATGCTACAGGTCTATGATATGCAGTACAAAACCTAGTTTCCTGCCATCTGTCTCCTCATCACAACCACACAAAATTGTATGAGGTAATGGCTTGAAGCACAGCACAAGCCACCACTTGGATCATGTGATATTTACTGTTTAGTGAGGCCATACTCTGTAGAAGTAAAAGTAACTAAAATGTTACAGATATGCTACAAACAGGATGAAGGTATCCCTTCTTCAGATGCAATTTAGTCTTACCTTTTCCATGGTGGAGGAAACTGATTACAAGTAACTAATTGTTTACAGTTTCTTACATTCACACTTTGGACAGAGTTCATGATTTGAATGCAGATGGAGCCTATGGTGGAGGAAACTGATTACAAGTAACTAGTTGTTTGCAGTTTCTTACTTTCACACTTTGGACAGAGTTCATATTTGAATGCAGATGGAGACTTTACTTCTCCAGGTAAGTCAGGGATGATCTCCAAGATCTTGTGAAACTTCCCCACTGAGTATCATCTAGTCAGTGTAGACTATTGATTTAGGTGGACCAACATTGCTAACTCTTAAGGTGAAAACATCTCTCTAAATTCTCCCGAGCTTTTTTTTAAATGCATGGCTTGATTTGCAGCAGTAGTGATAACGTTCTCTCTCTCTGACCAGTTAGACCAGCTTTTATTTTTTTTAGGGTGATGAGTGGCAAAGTCTGTTATAAAGCCATCTATGCAAAGATTTCCAACATCTACAACAGGCCTACTTCATTTATGACCTGTCAGGTTAAACATAGCACTCCAGATGTGTAGAATGGCCAATGAGGGTTCTGTATTTCACTGAATCTCGTGATTTTATGATCTAATGCAGACAGCAAAAGCAGTAGGTTTATCAAGGCCCAGGTGGGTTAACATCCATTCCACTTCATCGCCTTGACTCTATCCTTCATTTTAGCTTATTTTTTAATATAAACTTTTGGTTATCCAGATGTTGCACAAAAAGAATGCTATTTTCAATTTGCTGTATAATTTTTTTTGTCTTTGTATTCTGTTTTTTTTTTCCTGACTTGGGTGCTCTGTTATACTCCTATACACACAAACCCTCCCCTTGTTGTTCACGTGTGCCTCACCCATCCTTCCTGTTCTTCATTCATTGTCCTTTCTAGCTTCACCCCTCAAATTCCTTTTGCCCTTAGCTGTTTGGGAAACAGCATTGTGTTGTTTCCGAAGCAGCCAGTTGCCAGGCAACATTGGTTCTTTGATACTGTGGTCAACCACAGCAAAGAGGTGAAAACATCTTTTTGACATGGTGGTCCACCAACAACTTTATGGAAATTGAAGATGTTGCCTAGACCAATGTCCATATAAAGCAGGGATAGGGAACTTTCAGCTCATGAGAGGATGTAACCTATGGGTGTTCCATTTTAGTGTTCAAGTCTTTGGCAGCTCCTCCCTTCTCTCTCATCTGTTGTGCTTATCTCCAGTCACAGACTGGAGATGAGTTACCTCCTCTGGAAATCTTGTGTGATATCAGTCATGTCATTTTGTTCTTTGATGTTGCAGTGGTTTGTACCAAAAAAAAAGTTTTGAAGGGAGATTTGAGAGGGAGACTGATGAAGTGGATTTTATCCAGTATACATCTAGATGTTAAAAAAAATACTATGTAAATTTATAAGTTGACTTTCTTGTCAACTTTGTACTTAACCAAAAATTCATTCTCTTTAGCAAAACTCTGGCTTCTGAACAATAAGCTGTCTTCAAAAGTAATTACTCCAACATGAAACAGACAACATCCTAAGCATTTTGTATCAGACAAAAAATATATATACATCAGCCAGTTATTCTACTTATTGCCAGGATGTTTATGTTCCCATTGTAAATAGTTTTAAAATTACTTGCTTGTGTTACTAATGCTACTACAACTTTGAATTTTTTTTACCTGTGTTTGCATCCTATTGTGCTTGATCCCCACACCTATGTATACCTATGAGCTAAATATTGTACTCTATAGGTCTTAGGGAGTAGTATAATCCTTGAAAGCTCATAGTGAAATAAATGTGTTAATTTTTAAGTCATAACCATAAACATGGGGAATTTCAGTGCAAATCATCTTTGGGCAAAACTTTAAGGGGGTAAACCTCCCCAAATAATGTAATGAAGACTGAGCTAGCTTAGTAGCCACAGAATGCTAAATGAATGTTGCAGCAAGAGGAGAAGACCAGATGGCATGCAGAATGGAGTGAAGAATCGTAGAGGAGAGCATGGCTGTCTAGAACTAAAACAAACAAACAAACCAGTACTCCATGCTACAACATTTTGTTACAACCCCCTATCCACCCTGTGCTTGCTAAAACTAGTTTAATTATAGGAGTCCATGAATGTAATTCCTTAACCTATATTTTCCTCTGCAGTTCCACCTCATATTGGGGAGAATGCTCTTCTGGCTCCTGTGGATTCTTACAAGTATGGCTCTACTCAAATCTTAACATGTACCGTGTATGCAGTCCCAGCAGTAACCAGGATTCATTGGTACTGGCAGTTTGAAGAAGAATGTACTTTCAATCCACAGTAAGTTCATCATGATTTGCTGGCACTAGGTCCTTGTGTTGCTGGCTCTCTCCTTTCAATTCAGTTGCTTTAATATTCATCTTTATCTGACTTGTCCTACCCTACATCTCACAACCTAAGATGAGTTGAAGTTGTTTTCCATTGTAATTTAATATTCATCTTTATCTGACTTGTCCTAGCCTACATCTCACAACCTAAGATGAGTTGGTTTTCCATTGTAACGGTCTTTTTGTAAAACACTGCACATTTCCAGAGGCATGAATATATTTTAGTGGCTGACTTACACCATGGTTCTCTCTTCCCTTAGATATCTATCTGAGTTTAGTCCTGAACATTATTTAGGATCATGGCAATGTTCCTTCAACCCCTTCTCTTGATTTACAGATTTCACTTGGCATTTTTCACACACACACACACACATTTCAGACTTGAGAGCAACTACATAATTAAACCGTAGCACACTTCAGAGTGGCACATTCCTTTCTCCTCTTATTCACACCAGAATGGATCAGAAACATCTATTACTCATTTGCTTCTTATCCCCAAATGAGACTGCTGTGTGACACTTGGTGTGATGTTTAGATGGAAGACACCCCATCTGTTTAACTCCCTTTTCATTCCTATGATATGACTGTTTGACCAATAACTGTTTTAGATTGTATTTTGGTGTTTATTAAAGTAGCCCTTTGGATCAATGAAGCTGAATAATAAACCCAACTTTGGACTACAGGAAGAATCAAGCCTGTATAAAAAAAATATTCATTTCCACCTCTCCCTGACAGTAGACAAAACTTCCTCTGATTCCTCTAAAAATTTGTAAGTGTGAATGCACTTGGGAATTGGCTCCAGCAACACATGTTGCCACAGCACAAAAAAGGCAGATGACTTTCCTCCTTCCTGCCTATAAGTGTCTTTGATTGTCGCATCTGAGAAGTATTGTTTTTCCTATTAGCACAGTGTTGGGCTGATTAATATGAGCTGTGAGGTGTGCAAGGTGTCTGCCAATATAAAATCCACTCCTTTAAGTAATAAATACATTATGCCACGAGTGCAGAGCTAAGAAGAAATATACTCTTGCTGCATCCATGGGCCAGGAAAAGAACTGCTGGATGGTGTGGGTTTGGGGTGGGTGTGATTACATTATTGCAAGCAGCTTTTAGAATTCTTCCACCGGGAGGGATATGAAATTTCCAAATAAATAAGCAATTTACAATTGTTTGTCCAGTTGTTCCTATTCAGATCATTGAGGTGGATCCAAATTTGATCAATACAGCTCAATGAGACTGAAACAATCTATCTGGGCATAAGGTTTTAGCTCTGGGCAGTTCCTAGTTCTTAGTTGTGATTGTTGTTGTTGTTCATACTTCTGACAGATCTGGTGTTTGTTGTTCTGCTTTTCTTGCTTACGTCAACCCTACTGCTGAATTTGACACTGTCTCTTATCTATGTGAAAGCGTATCTTGGAGGAAGTGCCTTGATTGATGTTAGGGAATGATAGAGTGCACTTCTGACCAGGACCCTCTTCACTTCCCTTATCTTAGATTTGCACAAGGCCAGACTTCCTTTTAGGAATTTTAAAAAAAAGTAGCAGAGAAGGAGCCAGCTTTCCTGTTGTTGTTTTTAAAATCACTTCCACTATCTCCTTCCTTTGGTGCCTGGTCATTTCCTACGCAAAGCCCAGTATCCTAGAGAAATACTTGAGGGAGTCTATTGATTTCTATGTCCCCCTCTGTCTTCTTTCTTCCTCTTGAACCAAATTAGCTCAAATTGTCTATTTTATGAATGGAGGTTTGTTCCCAAAATAGCTGTTTTGCTCCCATCAGTGGCCTGGCTGTGGGCTGACCTAGGCAGAATAATGAAAGAATTTACCTCTAGGTCATGGGGATTTCTATTTTTATGTAGCAGCAAAGTCTTGGAATGTGGGGTATTGTTTATTTATTATATTGCAATGAATCCTGTAACAAAATGTTGCAGCATATTCTCTTCCATAGAACATGAAATATCCTTATTGATGGTTCTAGCCAGTCATGCCCTGTTGGAAGGATGCTAATGTGCTCTAGAGACTGTGCCCAATAAGTTAGACCATGCTACAGGCGTGATCATCCAGGACCGAGCAGAGCAGATGGAACGCTGGGTGCAGCACTACTCTGAGCTATATTCTAGAGAGACTGTAGTAACCGAAGAAGTATTAAATAACATTGAGTGCCTGCTTGTCTTGGAAGAGTTGGACAGTGAACCAACTTTAGCAGAAATAAAAGTGGCCTTGGATTCCCTCGCCTCCGGCAAGGCATCTGGAAAGGATAACATCCCTGTTGAAGTGCTGAAGTGCTGTAAAGAGACCATCACCACCAAACTGTATGAAGTCTTTCGTCTTTGCTGGAGCAAAAGTGGAGTACCACAGAACATGAAGGATGCAAACATAGTCATATTGTATAAGAACAAAGGAGACAGGGGCAACTGCAATAACTACCATGGCATCTCTCTTCTCAGTGTTGTAGGGAAGCTGCTTGCCTGTGTTATACTGAAGGGACTCCAGGTGCTTGCAGACAGAGTCTATCCAGAATCACAGTGTGGATTTTGAGCTAATAGATCCACTGCTGACATGATACTCTCCCTCAGACAGTTTCAGGAGAAATGCAGGGAACAACAACAGCCACTCTTTGTCGCCTTCATAGATCTCACAAAGGCCTTTGATTTGGTTAGCAGGGATGGCCTTTTTAAAATACATTCCAAGATTGGATGTCCACCTCGACCCCTTAACATCATCAGGTCCTTTCATGAGGAAATGAAGGGCACTATAGTTTTTGATGGCTCAACATCAGATCCCTTTGACATCCGAAGCGGAGTGAAACAGGGCTGTGTCCTTGCACCAACCCTTCTTGGAATCTTTTTTGCTGTCATGCTGAAGCATGCCTTCAGAACTGCATCAGAAGGTGTCTATCTCTGGACTAGATCTGATGGAAAGCTCTTTAATCTGTCTGCTGAAGACCTCCAACAACTCATGAATTGTTTAAGCAAGGCCTGCCAATCCAGGTCTATAGAGCCTGTGTCCTGAGCACACACCTGTACTGCAGTGAATCCTGGACACTTTGTGCACGGCAGGAGAGGAAACTGAACACGTTCCATATGTGTTGCCTCTGATGCATTTTTGGTATCACCTGACAGGACAAAGTTCCAAATAGTGTAGTCCTAGATCGAGCTGGAATTTTTAGCATGTATACATTTCTGAAACAGTGATGTCTACGTTGGCTTGGGTATGCCGTGAGAATGGCTGATGGTTAGATTCCAAAAGATCTCCTGAATGGAAAATTAGTGCAGGGAAATCGCCCCAGAGGGAGACCACAGCTGCGATACAAGGATATCTGCAAGCAGGATCTGAAGGCCTTAGGAATGGACCTCAACAGACACTTGTCCAGCAGGCCGAGGCAAAGAGGCAGTCCCAACAGCAGCAAAATCAGGGAGCTGGACAGGTGACAGATTGTATTTGTCTTCAGTGTGGAAGGGATTGTCACTCTCGAATTGGCCTTCTCAGCCACACTAGACGCTGTTCCAAGTCCTCCGTACAGAGCACGTTGCCATAGTCTCTCGTGACTGAAGGAAGCCTAATCCAAAAGAGAGAGAGAGAGAGAGAGAGAGAGAGCTCTAAGGGACTCAAGCTGCTCAGTTCATGCTTCTCACCCTTGCATCCAGTTTTCTCTTTTTCCGACTAACATCCCTGCAGGATTTTAGCCAAAAATGGAAAAAAAAATGGCATTAAGACAAACATCAAGAAACACGTTTTGACATATGCCATTATTATTGTTATTTTTGTTGTTGTTGTTGTTGTTAAAAAACTTACAGACATGAGCAGCCTAGTTTGTTACATAAAGGATTGTTTGCTTTAAAAAAAACTTTAAAATGTCTCACAGTAAGCCATAGCAGTTACAGTGGCATCAGTCTAGCTAAAATAAAAATTATATTACTTCAAGTCAATTCTGATTTTTAATGACCCTTCTCAGAAGTGGTTTACCAGTCCCTTGTGCTGGGAGCACGCTGGCAAGTCAAACTCCTATCCTCTGGGTCTACTGCCAACTCCCTAGCTCACTGTGCTAACTGGCCAGCATCAAACTGCTACAACTGTACAATGACACATTCTTAATAGGTCTGGACTGATGGCACTGGACTACTAGGGTTTCTGATTTGAGGAAATGATAGTCACGGCTCTTTTTCCTTTACAGCAGAGATTCCAGTGGCATTTAATCTAGGCACAGGTTTAGCTTCAGGAATTGTGCAACATCCGGTGTTCCATTAATTAGTTCTATGAAGGTTGTCAGACATACTTTTGATTTGTGTGCTTGTCTGTATTATGGGCCCATATCTTGAACATTTACTAATTCAAGAAACACCTGATGGGTTTTTTTCTGTTCTTTTTCTCTTGCAGCCAAGCTGGACTAGGAAATAATCCATACGCCTGTAAGAAATGGAAGGACATAACTGATAGAAGAGGTGGAAATCAGATTGAAATAGTAAAACATCAGTCTGTTGTGATTGCTGGAAAAATGAAAGTGAGTCAGTCATCTTTTTTTCCATTTGAAGTACTGTTTGAAAATACTGAACTAGAATCTACCTTAGTAAGAGTGTTTGTGAACATTATAATCATGGACCTGTTTGTCCTAAACACACTTACAGATTACTGTAGACAGATTGAGACAGAACCTCAGTAAATCACTGGTATTCGTAGATATGTGGGATTATGGCCATGAAATTTAGAACCATGTGGTCCAGTGATGGAAAGCAATGAACCTAGAAATCTAGTTAAAATACTTAAATCCTTTGTTATGGATATTTCAAAGTGGCTTCAGATACTCTTTCTTAGCCTGAACAGTTCATCTGTAAAATGGAATGGATGCTTTACTATATATGTCATAGAGGGTTCATGTATAATAAACAGTAAAGATTTTGCAAATATTCTTTGGATTTTTAGCAAGGCTAAGCTCTGATCTGAACAAAGGAGGATCACTCACAAAAGTGGGTGAGGTGTTAATGATTTTACATGTCCTTAGGTTGGATGTGAGATATTCTTTCTGTGATTCAGAAAATGCCCCTGCCTAATTTGGAAGAATCTGCCTCTCCACATAGCTCACCACATTCAGCAGCTTCCCTCATGGTGTGTGGGGACTGGAGGGGCTGCCACGAAGCCAAGATAATAAGGAAATCTGCTTCCACCATCCCAATTTCATGTGACTCAATCTGGAACCAGTAATTTTGCTATTGCCATAATGGTGAATGATATTTAGGTATTCTGTTTACTCAGAGGTTATTTCACTGTGTCCAGTAGGATTTCCTTGCAGCTAAAGGAATTTTACTTTGCAGTTTAAGGCTGAAATCTTAACCAAATTTTAGAATATAGATCTTCTTTAACTCAGTAGAACTAACTTTTATATAAATGTGTTCTACAATCTTATGTAGAAGGGTAAGTATGCTTTTTCCAGTTTAATTTAATGTTAAGATTTACGTTGGACAACAACGAGATTCTTTTGACCATTGTAACAAGATGGTTTGGAAAGGGTAAACAATTTCACTTTTGTTTGCCAGAGTGGGTAACCGGCAGGTCATGTAAGTTTCAAGTGCTGACAGGGTGCCTCAAACAATGGTGTGTTGTGTTGTGTTGTCCTGGAATTTATGATAGCCCAGATAGCTACATGTTCTGCTGACCTGTTGTGTGTGATTTAGTGAAGCCCTTTGAGCATGGCAATGTGGCGTGATGTTGTTTTATTTGTTTTCTTGTAGACTGTAAGCACCCTTGTCATTCAAGCAGCAAATGTATCTGTTCTGTACAGATGTGTGGCTAGTAACAAAGCTGGAGAGGGCGAGAGGGTCATTTCTTTTCATGTCACTAGTAAGTATTGCTCACTGTTTGCATGAGTTTTGCAGTTAATGTGTCTAACTAGTTTATGAAGCATACCAGAGACCTGATCCTGCTGCACTGTTACTCTGGTAAAGCACTTCCTGAATGTATGTAAGACTGCCAGAGTGCACTATGTCATTCAGAGTGTCTTTTATATGCTTGCTTTAAAATTCAAATTAAAGATGGGTTAAAGATTTCTGCTGCTTGGTCTGCTGTAAGTGATTGTGGAGACAGCGAGAGATTTGAATTGGGGAAAAGATCTTGTTCAGAGTAATAAGGTGGTTGTGTGTAAGCTAGTGATTCTGTGAACAATATCAAGTATGACAATACTAATCACGTTCACACTGAGTGAAATTGAGCAGTAGTGACAACTGTGTCTAGTCTTATTTATGCCAAGCTGAAACAAGCCAACTTGAACTTGTTGTTTAGAAACTTGGTTTGTTTCAGGTATCCATAGTTAAGATTAACTACACTTCTGGGTTTGGAAACACTATTAAACTGTGGTTAAAACTGTGCCAAAAGCTTTCAGTCTCCTCATGGCTGTGGTGGAGTAGAGCAAGATATAGTGATAAATGATGGTTTCTTAATTTATCTGAACCAGGTCCTTGAGTGAAGATGGGGAAAACTGATGATGTAGGATCAATTCTTTAGTTTTTGGTAGAACAATGTGTTGTTTCTACATAGAGTCACCAGCACAGAGAGATAGAGGGTCAAATCAGTTGTGAATACAGTGGTGCCTCGCATTGTAACGCTAATTCATTCCAGCGAAATTGCTGTAAAATGAAAACATCATAATGCGAAAAGAAAAAGCTAATTGAAGCTGGTAGAACAATGTGTTGTTTCTACATAGAATCACCAGCACAAAGAGATAGAGGGCCAAATCAGTTGTGAATACATGGGGTACTGTAATATAAAAAAATATTTAGAAGGCAGCTAGATTTCTAGAGAAGTTGGTTATAAACATCATAATGCGAAAAGAAAAAGCTAATTGAAGCGCATTAAAACCAGTTTAATGCGTTCCAAAGGGCTTGAAACTCACCGTCCAGCGAAGATCCTCCACAGGGCAGCCATTTTCGCTGCCTATGCAGCAAGGAATCCGTCCCAGAAAACAGCGGGGGGCCATTTTGTTTACTCAGTGGCCATTTTGAGACCGCCAATCAGCTGTCGGAAAATCATCGTTTTGTGAAGAATCGATTCCCGAAGCAGGGAACCGATCATCGCAAAGCGACATTCACCCATAGGAAACATCGCAAAAGTGATCGCAAAAAGTTCATCGTAATGCAGTTTTGCCGTTAAGTGGGGCAGTCATAAAGCGAGGCACCACTGCACATGGGGTACTGTAATTTTTTTAAAAAAAATTTTAGAAGGCAGCTAGATTTCTGGAGAAGTTGGTTAGATTAAAGAATCATTTTCTGAATAATTCTCAGAATCTTTTCATAGTTTGTGGGTGGGTGTACACACTCAGTTTGACTTTTTTGATTCTTTGGTCCTTTGTGTCAGTTTGTATCTGAACTTGAAATTGCTAGTTTTTTCAAACAGCAGTTTCTAGAATCCCCCAACCAGCATAGCCTTGATGAGTTGCATTTTATAGTCCAGAAACTAGGGTATATGTAAGCTGAAGTCAAGCCATTTTCAAAATGATAACATTACCCTGCCCTACCCCCTGCATTTCTGTAGGAAACACACTAAGAATGATGGAAGTTTCCTAGGATGACAAATTATGATTCTCTCTCTTTTCCAACAACAGGAGGTCTTGAGATTAATCTTCAGCCTCCAACTCAGCCAACTGTGAAGCACAATGTCTCCTTGCAGTGCACAGCAGACAGACTCACTTTTGAAAACCTGACCTGGTTTAAGCTTAGTCCTCGTACCTCCATGACGCGCCTTGGCAGGCTGCCCATGCCCGTTTGTAAGAACCTGGAAGCTCTTAAAAAACTGAACGCCTCAACTGCAAGTGCCAATGGAGAAAACATCACCATAGAACTCCTTCTCCATAACATTTCCCTCCAAGACAGTGGGGATTATGTGTGCATAGCTCAGGACAAAAAGACTAAAACACGACACTGCCTTGTCAAACACCTGGCAATTCAAGGTAATCTCATGCTGTTTGATGAGAAAAGAAACTATCTCATGCTATAATTAGAGATGGAGAGATGCATGTAATTCTTACATAACACTAATGGTAAACATTAATAATATAAACTGTTCTTGTCCAAATGAAGGAGAAAGGACTAGGGTTAAAATACTCCTGGTACACAATTATTTCTGTGCATTCCAAGACACTGTCTAGATGCACACACGCTTGAAGTGTCTTCAAATGGCAATTTAGCAGTTAGGCAGTATTAATAGAAAAACACAGTGCATGGTGCCTTGTACATGCCGTAAGATTTATTTATTCTAGTTCTCAAAGTATGGTGAAAGTTTTTCCTGGCACAAATGAATGCATTCAACAGCCAATATATATTTATACATGTAAATGTAGTGAGAAATGCATGCAGTTTTCAGGTACTATGGTAAACATAAATATTTGTGTCAGGAGGAAAAAAAGAGCAAAATGGTACTGAGATGAATTCAAATCAGAAGTCTAATGAATGCCTACAGAAACACTGAGTTGGATTGAGACTTAGTCCATTTTAGCTTAATGATTAATTTTTAGCATGTTACATTGTTACACTAATGTTGACATCAGAAATCAGGAATGCAAAGAAAATGGCATATAATACTTTGGTTGTCACCACTGTCTGCAAGAGGAACATTTTGTTGCCGTCTCTTTCAAAATATTCTTCTGGGAGTGTACGTTGCCTTCCCTACCCTGACACTTTCGAGATGTGTACACACCTCAAAATCCAATTGCTGATTGGATATGCTGGGATTTGCTGTCCAACGTATTTTCTGATTGATACACTGGAGTGGGCTGTCCTAAAACACGGCACCTGACAACCCGTCTAATTAGGTTTTGCCATTCATCTGTGAATCTCTTCCTTTCTTTTAACCTCCAGCCACTTCTGGCAACATGAATTCTGTTCACTCACCATTCAAACACTTTGGATTGTGTAAGGTAGACATTCCTTCCAAAAAGCCTTTTAAAAATGCCTAACCTAAAAACAATTTTAAAGGTAGCTGCAGTGCATTATGCTTTATATCAAGAAGGAAAATAAGAAAAAGTAATATTACAATGTTAAGGGGATGGGGGTGGGAGAGAAGTAACTAATTACAGGTAACTGTTATTTTAACTCGTTACATCTGATTGCCAACAATTCGATCAGTTATTCTGGGGTTTTTAGGCACCTGTAAAGTGGCTGAAGTCCTGTGGCTTAGCATATTAAATCATAAGTAGAGTAGGCCCATTGAAACAGTAGAACTTATGGAGGAGTTTAGTCACTAAATCTGTACTGATTCAGTAGGGCTAAATAACAGGATTTCAGCTATTGCGTTTAGGAAGGAGCTGCATCAAGGACATTTGTCCTATTGTTCAGGCAGTTAACCATTGAGCTGCAACTCGTAATGAATTAAGACTTATTTCAGTTCCATAATTCCCAAATTGCATTTTTCAAATCCTGCATTTAAATTTTAATGTCTCTCTGTTTCAAATAGAACCAGTGGCACCCATTATCACAGGGAACCTTGAGAATCAAACCACAATTATTGGTGAAACCATTGAAGTCTCTTGCATAGCAAATGGAATTCCCTCTCCACTCATCATGTGGTTTAAAAATAACGAATCTCTGGTTGAAGATTCAGGTGAGACTGAATGTTTTGATTTTGTGATTTTCCCTTGAAGAATTCATTTTGTAAAATTCTCCATTGATTTTGTTCTGATTGGTATACTCCTTGTTCAAGAAGCATAATTTATATTGTTTCCACTGTGGATTCCTGAACTTTGCTTTGCTGTGGCATGTTATAATTTGTGCCAGCCATTATTTCACATTAGCTCTGCCTCCTTTTCATGTTCAGTAGATGAGTGTGGGCATTTAGGTGACACTGGAACTGTAGCCACCCTGTTCCATCTGAAGAGAGCCAGCTTTATGTGCAGAGGCTTGTGTCCATTTAATTGGACTCCAAAAGGGGCAGGGTTTCTAAAATGGTTGACAGAGCCTCTAATGTGTACAGCTGCATTTTGGCTTTAAAAATACATTTAGACGATAACACTCAGAAGCGTTAGCTAAAGCTGCAAAATGTCTATGGTATTTCTCAAGGCATTTCACATGCTTTTTAAAAAAAACATTATCTGTGGGAGACTAAAAACAGTATTTTTTCCCTAATTGTTGGACAGTTACATTGAACTAATTTGGCTCCAGTAAGAACTGGTTGCTATGATCTCAGCTGCTTGGGATGGTATCATAAGGCTCTGAGCTGGTTTTCAGCAAGGCAGGACTTTCAGTCCATGGCTCTTATAATGTTGCGCTAAAGGAACAGATGTGGTCAGTTGGCTCTTCATGGAGCAGTGGTTCCTAGCCTTGAAGCTCCTGGTAGTCTTGGACTGCAATTGCCAGAAGCCTTGAGATACGTCACAAACTCTTGGCTGTTTTAACAGAGTCCACTGAATGTTAGAGTCGAAATACTTCTGTAGGCCTAAGACTGGGTTACCAAGTATGAATTTAGTTTTGAAAGGGAAATGCAGGTGTTTTTTCCCCTGAGACAGAGGGGATGTGAAGGGACATGTGCCTTCTGTAGAGACAACACAAGATTAACATTTTTCAGTATTAATAACATTAATTTCAGAAGTTAAAAGCATTTGATATAAAATGTTAATAATCAGTTAATGTCTCAGTTTCTGACAACTAACTGGAACTAATTTTCAAACTTCACATTCCAAACTCTGCTGAAACCACATTCTTTGATCGAGAAGTGATTTTAAGGGCCTTCTGCGTGGGTGGGCTGGCCTCACTCACATCCTGAGAGGATGTCACTGGACACATGCCTTTCTAGATTGGCTTCCCACTGGTAATGGATTGGCCATGTTGTGAACAAAACTTGGGGTTAGATAAATCTTTGGTCCAATTCAGCATGGTTCTGCTTATGTTCTTAAGTCTTAGGTCTTCATCACCATAATGCAAGTTGCAGGATGGATATCAGCATTCAACAGAGATCCTGGGGCTGAGCCCATGTGCTTCATCTAGCTCCCCAGCTTAATTATTTAAGCAGAAGATGCATATGTGGGGTTTGGAGTGCATTTGCTATAGGAGATCAGAAGATTCAAGCCAAAATATATGCATGCCAGCATCTTTGTTGTGATAATGTAGACTATAAGCTCAAATAATAAGGATAAAAGAGTAATTCCAGTGTCCCTGTGTCCTTTACCAAGGTATTGTTCTGAAAGATGGCAACAGAACTCTCACCATACGAAGAGTGAGAAGGGAAGATGAAGGGCTGTACGCTTGTCATGCTTGCAATGTCCTGGGCTGTGCAAAAGCAGCAACATATTTTGAAGTGGAAGGTCAGTATCATGCAGTTCAGGGCTGATTTCCCCAAATGTTGTCTTTTTTTCTTCAGTTATTTTTTTTATTTGATGTATGTTTCCATCTACATGTGTCATGAGCTGAACACGCATTGAAAACATTGAGTTTGCTGGGAGATGGGTGATTCAGGAAAGGAATCAAGGCTGAGCAAAGAGAATTGACAGGGCTGAGCAAGGCAGCTAGGAGCTGTGAGGGTAGCCCAGAAAGTCCTTGATCCTCCAACACCAAAAAGAAAATGGAAAGAGAAATGATAGGATTATGTTACACAACCTGTGGGTAACTTCTTTGTAAGTCTGTTCCAAGACATTTTGCTACCCAAGACAAATCAACAACTGATACCCATCTACACAATTCAGTTGTCCCCAGGCTGATTATATTATTGAGCATGAGTCAGAATATCAAAGACACACTATTCAGTGAGAATAAAATAATGATAGATGGTTTGTTGGCTTTTCATCACTATATACAGTACTACCAAAGGAAATTGCCTCACTCTAATGGAGGGTCAGCCCTGCTCCTGTGTCCTGATTTCAAGTTAATAGAGCTCTTCCCAGACAGTTATTTGCTCAAGTACAATCCTCTAAAAGAAAGAAAAAAATCACACTCTCCTGTTGAAAACTATAATCAGATTTCTTATTTT